TTGGCCTCCCAGAGTGCTAGGATTATAGACGTGAGCCACCGCGCCTGGCCTGTCTGAGATTTCTGATGTGGAAATTCATATCAGTCATTCATATCATTGATACCTTGTATGTACTATGTCACCTTATATGGACTATGTCATTTATGTACTATGTCATGTATACCTTATATGTACTATGTCATTTTTCTCTGACTCAAAATTGTATTTTAATCTTTGGTTTGACTGTTGGCTAGGGATGGTTTTCTTTGTATTTTTCCTATTTGGGATTCTTTCAGAATTAGCTGGGTTCCTTAGTGTCCGCCCCATGTGTGCTTAATTCAGGTATCAGCTAGCGATTTGGGCACGTTTATGCAAAGAATTTGGAACTCTGGCTCTGTGCGATTAGGGTTTTTATTAGAATTTTTAGCTGCTTTCAGCACCAAACCTGCCTAAAGTGTAAAGCCAGTAAAAAATGGGAAACTTACTAGATGCCCTTCCTTTCTCCCAAGTGTCAACCTCCATCCATCCATTTTTTGCCTGATTGTGGTTGCTCTCCAGTGCCTTCAGGTAGTTATATGTCATCCAAAGTTTATAGTTGTCTGTGAGAGGTTCAGCACAATAGAAATTACTTAGGCATTACCAAAATTAGAACCCCCTCCCCATCTTTATTTTTTAAGGAGAAAGAATAGCATTTTAAAAATAGTGTGTGATAATTATAATCATTGTGTTCCTATCAATCATAGCAGTCATTTCAAGCAATAGAATAAATCAGAAGGAATTGCTAAGCATAAGAATAGAAATTAACTGCTTAAGTATTTAGAGGAAAAACAGTGTTTTCCTTATATTGCTTCCACTTGAGGACTAGCTCAGCTTTGTGTGACATGCTAACTTTCTTTTCCAAGAGCTACAAGTGTATCTTGTTAAGTGGATGCTTGCCAAGTTAGAATTATCTTACTGATAGATGGCATATTTTTGGTCACTATTAACCTGATGTTGATAATGTGGCAGGAAATAATTTTGAGTCTAGAAGTCATTCTTAAATTAGGCTTAAAATTTTTAATATGTGAAGCTGGCACAATTCTCTGAGTTGTCACCATTTCCATTGTGTAGTCTTATTTGTTCATTCAGAAATTTTTCATTGTGGAATATTCATTCAAAAGAGTCTATAAAATGTAAAGATATAACAAAGAACAATAAAATGAAAACTATTAATTCATTTTTTACTAATTATTGACCTTAATCAATTATTCATTTTCCCCCCTCCCTCATCTACTCTCTGTCTTTTAGTTGAAACTCACAGGCAACGTGTTGCCTGTGATACTTAGGGCAAACAAGGTTGCAGGTTCTTGATAACATATGTTCTCTCCTGGGAATAACAGTAAACATTGCATGTAATTTAATACGGAATAGTTCCAAATTCCTTGGATATCTGCTAACTATAGTTTGGATAGCTGTTTGACTTCCAGTAAATTGGAAATTTCAGTAAAGTCATCATTTTAGAAAAAGTACCTGATGACCTAAGTTATACCATCCCCTTACCCCCACGTACTGGTAATAGCTATTTCAATGCTCACTTTAACATTTTTACTCTACATTATAAACACAAGTGTGACATTCAGGTATTTTGCAGAGAGAATTAGGGACTTATAAGACCTTTAAAAAGGAAATTGCAGCAGATTTAAATCATTAAAAGGTTGAAATTAGTGGGAGAGAAAGAGCATGAAATAACTTCAACTTGAGAACATATAGCTTCTTCTCAAGATTTTTGGGAAATTTGAAGTAAATCTCCAGATGGCCTCAGAGGGCAAATGTATGAGTTGTGGTTTGTAATGGAACACTAGCACAGTTAGATTTCAGTTGGAAGGAGAAAGTGTGTAGTCAAAGCAGGATACTAATTTTACTTTCCACAATTGTGCCAATAAAAGACATCTTGACTTCTTTTTTTCGTCTAGATATGAAGAAGCTGAAGTTCGTAAGAAACTTGAGGAAAAGGACAGACAGGAGGAAGAACAGCTCCAACAACAGAAAAGGCAGGAAACAGGAAGAGAGGATGGTGGCACATCGGCTAAAGGTTCTTTAGAGAATGTATTGGATTCCAAAGACAAGACCCAAAAGGTATTTCAAATTTATTGTGTGAGTTGAAAGACTGGTTCTGTTTGTCAGATGATTTGCTTAAAAAGAGTTGAGATGTAAAGTTCTTTTAAGGGTAAAATTTCATGTGTTTTAACTAGAAATTAAATTAAATGTTCTAGCTTTAGTTGATTGCAGGTTTTTCTATCAGTTTCCAGAGCAATATGTTCCTTTTTTTTTTTGCCCTGAGTAGAATGCCATGGCATCAGCCTAGCTCACAGCAACCTCAGACTCCTGGGCTCAAGCCATCCTCCTGCCTCAGCCTCCCAAGTAGCTGGGTCTACAGGCACACACTATGATGCCCGGCTAATTTTTCTATTTTTAGTAGAGACAGGGTCTTGCTCTTGCTCAGGCTATTCTCAAACTCCTGAGCTCTATCAATCCTCCTGCCTCAGCCTGCCAGAGTGCTGGGATTACACAGAGCAATATGTTCTGTACATGAATTATTTTTTTAGCAGTCCCTATAAACTTAATTAGAGCAGTAGAAAGAGCGTTTGAGCTGTGATTCAGTACATCTGAGTTCTGGTCCTACTCCCTGACTCAGTTTCCTCATTTGCCAAATGAAAGTCTTGAAATAGATGATCTTTAAGCTTTCTTCTTTCTAATAATGTAATTTACGTTAAAAGAAAGATTTGGTGTGCTACTTTATTTGGCTTTTATGTGTTTTTGAGATCTCATTCTCTTCCCTTTGCTTTTTCTTCCTTTCTTTCCCCTGGTTTCCCCTTCCTTTTTCTCTCCCTCTCTTTCAGTTCTGTTTAGCTTGCAATCTTTTCAGCTAAATCATCTGTTTGCCAAAAGCTATCGGTGCCTCAGTCTGTACCTGCCAGCTATCACTGTGTCTCCCTTCCTTCACCTCCTCAGAAACTATTCTTCCTAAAATATAATTTCGTCTGTGCTGCTGAAATCCATGGAAAGATTTCTGCTTTGATTTTTTTCTTAAGCATTTTGTAGCTTTCACCTGTCATTTGTGTGTGGATCATCTGTTTCATTAAGAAGTAGCTGTTGAATTGCTTGTGACATTGGGCTAGGCACTATGCAAAAAGAAGTGAAGACATCTGGTCTTTTAATTTTAGGAACTCATGATGTAAGATAAATAATACTGCCTTAGGGGATGTTCATTTATAGATCAAATGGCTGAAATAAAAAAAATAAGCCTTGAAAGAACTGTATGAAGGGAGTTTTTAATCTCTTCATTTTGTTGCCTTTCCAACAACAGTGCCAACCACTTTTTGTTACTTTTATTTTTGTGTAGCTTTTTATTTTGAAAAGAGAATATAATTAACCCCTGTAACCCAGCTTTAATAATCAGTTAACATTTTGCCTTATTTCTTTTATCTGTCTCCCTCTCCTTTTCTTTTGATGGAGTATTTCAAAGCAAATTTCACCTTATGTACCATTTTACTCCTAAATATGTCAGTATACATCTCAAAAAGTCATTTTCTTAAAAACGTTATTTGCCCATCTCATAAAATTAAAAATAATTCCCTTAGATAAACTAATACCCTATATTCAGATTTTTCCACTTAAA